CCCTAAAGGAACCCTAAACCCTAAACACGGTTCAGGGTTTCAGGGCTCTAGGGTAGCTACTTGGAGGGTGGGGGGACTTGGTAAGTAGGTAGTAAGTAGACTTATAAGTACACTAAAAGGGACTCTAATCGGGGATATGATAGTTATAAGTCTATAAAATACCCTAAACCCTAAAACTTAAACCCTAAACCCTAAACCTTAAACCCTCAACCCTAAACCCTAAACCCTAAACCCCTAAACCGCTAAGTCCCCCGACCCTTCCAAGGGCATTGGGGACTTATATAAGAGAACCCGCATATAAGGCTTTGGGGTTTAGGGTTTAGGGTTTCGCGTTTAGGGTTTAGGGTTTAAGGTTCAGGGTTTAGGGTTCAGGGTTTAGGGTTTAGGGCCCGCATAAGGATTCAGCCTGTCCGGCATGGAGCGGGCGTGTTTGCGATTGCGGTTTAACCGCCTGGACCCCGAAACGCCTGGGTTTAGGGGGTTAGGGGTTTAGGGGTTGGGTGTTTAAGGTTTTAGGGTTTAGGTTTAGAGCTGTCTGGATTTAGGGTTTGGGGCCAAGGGCTTTAGGGCTGGGTCGTCGAACTTAAAGTTTAAGGATGTGTACTTTTTCATCTCCCATTGATGTGTTAACCAACCCGTTGAGACTACTCGTTGGAACGCAGAGAACATACAACCTTATAGTCGCAGGCATGCCCAATGCCACCAAGCAAGAGCCTACAAGTAAAATCCAGCAACTAGCTCCTCAATGCTCGCCTTTACAATCAACATTACATTCCTGAGCCCTAAACCCTAAACCCCTTTACAATCAACATTACATTCCTGAGCCCTGAACCCTAAACTCTAAACCCCTTTAGAATCAACATTACATTATAAGCCCTGAACCCTAAACCCCTGTAGAATCAAAATTACATTCCTGAGCCCTAAACCCTGAATTCAAAACCCTAAACCCTAAAGACCCTAAGCCCCTAACCACGGAGAAGAACCCTAACCGCCAGCAAGCCGAGATCCTCTAGCTGCCGCTACATGCCCCGCACCGCGTACTGTAGGGGCCTTAGGGTTTAGGGTTATTAGAATAGAGCTCTTGGGCTCCTTTATCGTATTAATCTTATAAGGACGCCGACGAATCATATTGATAATTATTTAGGTCTCTATTTTTTCTCTACTAAGTGAAGTCTTCAGCTCTGGTGTTTCCTTGAATTCGTACGGTTTGGGATCAGGGCCTAGGGTTTAGGGCTGAGGGAGTTTGGGAGTATCAAAGATCGCAAATCCTAAGCAATTGACTGATGCGAACAAGATGCAATGGTTGCTCTCGCATGTGCATTTGCGCCCTTTGAAGGTCCAGTCCTCAGCAGGAAACCCTAAACCCTAAACGCTAAACCCTAAACCCTATATACTTTGGTTTCCATGGCTTTGGCTTAGGGCTCAAGACGTTCGGCTCAAGGGCCCAGGAGAATGACCAGAACCAGTGGTGGGCGATCCAGGGTTTAGGGTTCGGGGTTTAGGGTTTAGGGTTTAGGGTTTAGGGTTCGGGGTCTAAGCCCTAGCAGAGCGCCGGAATGTCTGGTTGTTGCCGCAGTCAGCGGCGGCCCTTTTGAAAGCTCACGAGATGTGTTCGGAGGAGCTACAGAATCAACCACAGAGTTCGATTACATCAGGAATCACATAAATCAGAAAGCTCAGTTGCAGTCGGTGCTTGCAAACCTATGGCAACTTCGGAATATGAGCACCCATATGTGCACCCTACCTACCTACCTACCTACCTACCTACCTACCTACCTACCTACCTACGTACCTACCTACCGACCTACCTACGGACCGACCGACCGACCGACCGACCGACCGACCGACCGACCGACCGACCGACATACATACATACATACATACATACATACATACATACATACATACATATGGAGACTACTATAAACGGAATGCTAGACTGCACAGATGAAGGAAGCCATGTGGCAATGCATTTAAACACTAAACCCTAAGCCCTCAACCACCTACATTATGTTCTGCGCACCTTCGACGCAGCAGACTCACTGCACTATGAGCCTTAGCAGTTAGGGCGTACCGAATGTCCGCTTTTTGGATATATAGGGTTCAGGGTTTTAGAGTTTAGGACGGCTTAGAGTCTAGGGGTTTTTGGTTGATGGGGTTCAGGGGTTTAGGAATTCTATAGGATTTCGGGTTTAGGGCTGTTTAGGCATCCTGCTGTTTCACAGGCTAATTAAGAGTTTAGGGTTCAAGTTTAGGGTTTAGGGTTCAGGGTTTAGGGTTTAGGAATTGAGGCTATACCTTGACCAACAGCTCCATGTATTGGATTCTCTAAGGGCGTCAGGGAGTGCCCTCAGCCCAACCAAAATCCAAGCACCAAACATCACTTTTAGGGTATCGATGTTCGACAAAGCCCTTTGAAGCGTGACAGGTCCTGCACAACATAGCACTTTCTCCTTATGTCCGAAATGCTCTAAACCCTGAGCAACGATAAAGAAGTAATATAGGGGCCCAAATAGTTACCAACACTTTTTGGAGGGTTCCTGATTATAAGTATCGTATAGGGGGCCCCAAAACCCTCTGCTGGATATTAAGGCCCCTTTATTAGAGAGACCGAAATGATACACCTGGAAAGCCGTGCATCCTGCACTTCCAACATCAGCATATGACATGGGAAGCCTGAACTGACGGCTTAGACAGATCCCCAAATCTCCTCGAAGCAAGTAGGAGTCGTAGTCTACACGTCCTACTTGAAGGTGTTTGTGTACGCAAAACTAGGGTTATATTTAGCGAAATGCGGCTACGATGGGCCAAGCCCTACTGCCTAGCAGAAGCTACCCCCAAACCTTAAACCCTAGACACCTAAACCCTAAACTCGAAATGCAAAGCCCTGCACCCCAACACCCTAAACTCAGAAGTGCCGGATTTCAGAGCTATGAGTTGCCGCATATACCCCAGACAGCTCTAGAGCCTTGCTTCGTAGTCCCTTCCAAGACCCTATGATATACCTTGGCCCTAACATAATCGCAAAACCGGTACTTTAAGCCCACAGTATGTATTTTCTAGGTAGTATAGGGTCCTTAGTAATTTCGAATAGGCTTTTGGTGTTCATTATCGTATAACTATACAAGGAACCCCAATGCAAGGAATAATATTGCTAGTCATTCAGGCTTCTACAACCCTACATCCTAAACCCTAAACCCTAAACCCTAGACCCTAAATCCTAAACCCTACACCCTAAACCCTAATTGCTCCCTTTTTAAGGCCCTGAAGCTTCTAGGATCTCCTTAGGTTGATGAATCTTCTAAAGCTCCACTAGGGTTCTTTCCGGAAGCGGCTGGGAGGATGGGGTTTAGGGCTTCATCAAACGGCTTGGGGCTTGAATTTGGGGTTTAGGGCACAAGCTGTTTGGGGTTTCAATATGGGTTTCGGGCTTAGGGAAGAAAGGGTTTCGGAGACTCAGATCGAAGCGCTTGGGCTACAGAATTAGCATGGAGGTTGGAAGTCGCCCTGGGGGGTTGTGA